ATACATAAGCTAAATTATGGAAAATCAGTCCATATATTAAATGTTTTTTAGCCATTTTATTGCCGGCGAACAGACAGGACGAACATGCTCCCATAGAATGGCAGACAGTGCAGTTAGCGAGAGTTTGCGCAATCCCAGGTGAGGCTCAGCTCGCTGCTGCCTCACCGGCTTCGCTTCTGAGCATTTGAATGGGAAAATGCAAAAATGTAGCAATTTTGAAGATAAAAATAATCAGAATTGGTTAAGCTAAGTAAAAAATAGGTACTTTATAGTACAAACCACAGGGTGAAAATAGCAATATAAATGGTTTTATTATGTAGTATTTTTCCACGATGACAGGTGAGGCAGACCACACGTCACTGCTTAAAAATAAAGTATACTCTTTTTTTCACCTGGAAAGTCGATATAAATTAGCGACAATGTAGACTGTTAGCACGCTGTCACCTTGGAAACTGGACTCCTGGGCCCTGAATGGAAGTGAGAATATATATTACTTTATTACTTATGTTTAGTTACTAAATGGATAAGATGAATATCTGTCAAGATGCCACCCTCACTCCATTGTATCAGATCCAGTTTAATTCCCAAAAGTCAGAATATAATTACATTTCTTTTGTCTGTCATTCTTAAACTAATTTAGCATATTTAATTTTCAGACTTTTATAAATATAGCAACATGTATAAACATTGATAATTTTATATTTGAAACAACTTTACGCTACATTTAGGGACTGAGGAATAGAAATTGGTCCCAAGGGGAAGCGATTACCATGGTTCTTTGTGTTCAACACTAGTAGACCAGCATCTGCTACTGAAATAGACAACCGAACACTTGAATGAGCATGATAACTTCTGAAGCATTTCTGCAGAAACCCAGAGGTACAGTGATGATAATCCACAGTATGATGTCACATCCACCTGGGACTCTGACCATTTAGTGTTCAGCTTCAAAACCTTGGAGGTTAAAAGGCCTTATTGCCATCATGAAAACTCGCCTGTCAGAGTTGTGTACCACTTTTTTTCAAAACTGTTTATGAAAATGTTTAACTATATAAATTCCAAGAAAATACAATTGATCATTTGAATAAAACCACAATCAGGAAAAACAAAACACCCCCCCCCACAAATCTCAACATTGGCAATTCAACCATGGTTTATTTGCACATCCTAAATATGACCAAACAAGAAAGACAATACAAGAGACTAAGTTGTTGGTTTTACATGCAGACATACTCATCCCTGTTGAAAAAGAGCTTCAGCACACACCAAACAGACAATCATTTCACAACTGCTCAATACAACCAGTGAGAGACAAGCAAAAGGACATGGAGTGAGAGTGGGGTTGAATCTGACCAGAAGCACTTGTGCTTAACGAGGCTCTTAAATACTGTTCCTGCATCTATACTATCACTGTATAACATGTAGGAAAAAGACAGGAAGAATATTTCATTAAAAAAGCTGGAACATCTCTTCTGACCAGATGTTTGAAAATTGTCACAATGTGCTTCTCCAGGTTTTTCTACGCAGCAAACAGTTCATCTGATGGTTTCTTCTTGAATGTTAAAACCAAGTGAGAAGAATAAGTTTATGTCATTGGTCCCTTTAATATGTGGAATGCCATGCTAATCTAATCAAAAAGACAACATTCTATTTCAAATGCATTTTACATAACTTGATAAAAAAAATAATACATTCCATCAGTCTGAGGTGGGAGCTGAAATAAGAACTGGTTGAATCCCTCAGTTAGATTGGTCTGACTGTCCACTTCCACTCTTCAATGCAATTTCCAGTTACTCCCACATTTTGCTTTAGCAGATAGAAAAACACAAAACTGTTCAGTCTTTGAGAAAGGACAGGTAAAAAGATGCAGAGTATAGTGAAATCAAAAAATAAGGCAAGATAATTATGAAAAAGCCCTGCTTCATCAGGTTTCACTGGTATACAGCAGCATATTGGATGGGCAGACAAATTAATCTGGTAACTATTTCAATCCCAGCGGGTAGATTATAAGGCAGAGTTAGTTCTGGTGATCCTTGCTTTGCGTTCAGACTGAAGGCCATCGGAAAGCGGCTAAGAAGAGTTGAAACAGCACAATATTTTTATGGTACAATCAACTTTTTGGTTATGTATAATATTGGTTTACTATACACACAAGTTTAATATCATCACATAGCCAAATATAATTTTAACACCATTTCAGATACATTAAAAATTTTAAGCTTCAAAACACTCAGATGTTTTTCAGTTGAAATTCCAGTTTTCTGCAGTTAAAGATGGATTCTATTTTATGGCTGTTGCACTCCCTGTTGATTATGAAAACTTTATGCTACAAAAGTCTTTAAGGTGAACAAATGGAAAATCAGTTGTAACAATTTTAAATCTAAAACAAAAGTTAATAGTGTTTTTCTTTCCCACCCCCAATATCCAGTTATTCCATAATTTTATTTTCAATCAATGTCTTTTAATGTTGAAGGTAATAAATTAACCATAAAACAGCCATCTCATGTGAGTGTGTTTAGTCTTTGGAGAAGCTTGTTTTTGTTTTGCTTTTATTGATTTCTACAAAGTCTGAATCTTAAATAGAGAAAACTCTTGACTAACTTACGATATTATTTCTTCTGTCTGAAAATATACAACCAAAGTTAGCAACTTTAAAGGTCCTAAAGTCATTTGTTTTGTGCTCTTCGAGTAAAACAATCACAAACAAGCAGAATATTAATGATGCATCATACGGTTTCTCACTGTCTGCTAAAATGTTTATGATAAATGTTAACACTAATTATAAACTGGCTGCTCTCTACAGACTAAAGTTAATCAGGCATTAAAACTATTCACAACTACCTCAGTATTGATAGTTCCCTTTCTCCTGGTACATAAAATCTACAGCTACACTTGAAGCCCAACAGCACAGACATGTTACTGTAACACAGGGTTCCCAAACTTTTTCTCCTGGGCCCCCCCACTGGTTTCCAAACTATTTCTGGCGCCCCCCTATGGCTTACAAATAGCTGTCTGGTTGAACGATGTGTGTGAGCGAAGGGGGTGGGGGATGGATTCTTAGAGACTCCCTGTTACACTCTGCCCCGGCTCCAGATGAACAAGGGGGGGAATCAACTCTTTGGGGGGCAAAATGAATCGTAGCTGAACATAGACAACAACACCAGTAGCCTACAAGCTACTTGTTAACAAGCTTAAGGTGCTGTATTGATATTAGCTAGCTAGTCATCTTTTAGCTAACTTTACCTGCATCCAACAGCATGACTCAACAGTCTGTTAGTTTGGGGGAAAAACTGTGAAAAGTTCTTTGCGTTTTGCTGGTTTACTTCTATGATTCTAACACACTCCTGCGTAGCTCTGCACAGCAGCAGCAGGTCTCCTTCACTGCTGCACAGGTGTAAACCCAGCGTGAGCGTAGTAGGGCTCATGTTGCGTTTAAAGGCTGCTGGGAAAAACAGGTTACGACATGTTGACAACGGATTAAACAGTTTTAACTGCTGATTAAAGTGACAGAGGACACAAATATGGGAAGTGCGGAAGCCCCTATTGTATCAAATTGACAGAGGAATAACAGAGAGTTGGCCATTCTAAGGTAAAAACCCAGCGCATACAGTGTTCTTTTTTTTTGTTTTCTTTTCATCCAGACGGCTTCCCGCGCCCCCCCTGCAATGGCATGGCACCCCCCCCGCCCCCCAGGGGATGCGCCCCACAGTTTGGGAATCTCTGCTGTGCTGTAACATATGAGTGATTATTGAAAGAAAAGATGCCAAAAGCCATTTCATACCAGCTTCTAATTCTGAAATCAATGTACATGTGCCTATCCATGCTGCATATTTTAAAAAGTAAGTCAATAAATACCTGTGTTTGTACATATGTGTGCAACAAAGAAGTTGGACACATAACAGTATATCTCCTTTGGAACCAGTCCCCAGAAATAAGATAAGGAAAAAGCTGATAATCGTTTGGATGGAGTTTCAGATTGTCTTCAAAATTAAAGGAGTTGGTCCCATGGCAGGGGTGGCACGGCTTCCTCAGAGTAAACCTGAACTTGGTCCCGCAGCGACCCTTAATGGCTTCTTCCTCTTAAACTTATTCATTAGATGTAATCATCTAATGAATAAGTTTGGCAGATTTGTGCATCGGCGACAGGACACCATTTGCAGAGTTCGTGGTCAGTGACTGAGGATGTGATATGAATAACACCTAAAATGGAAAATTATTGGAAACAATCCAGGGACAGAATTCTGACAGGAACACATCAGGGATATTTTAAAATTCCCAATCAATGGAAATGGAGCAGAAGCCTTGCTGATGATAAAAAGGAAGCCATGCGTTAAGGACTTGGTGAAACGTTACCAGCCAGCTCTAGCATGGAAAGTGGGGCGTGAATGGGGGCTGGCACTACCCGACGAGGGGCTGGTGTAGCCGTCATGGTTGTGGTTGTCTCGCCTTCTCCCCTCTTCTTTCATAAAATGGTCCAACATGAGGAGCTTCTCCTTGTGGATCTGGAAGCTGATGTCCTTGGGGATGTCCGGGATGAGCCAGTCCACAAAGTCGCTCATGAGCATAACCATGTTCTGCATGAACACAGACACAACACATTTACAACACTAAAGATATTTCAGGCTGTCTTAGAGAGACCCAATATTAAAGTTGCCACAGACTACATGCAGAACAAAAAAAGTCAATGTTAAAGTTCTGAAATGAACATTTTAGCAAATATGTTCTAAGTCACTATGATGCCCTTAGTGAAGTCCACTTGTTTGGATAGTGAGATGAGACCTTTAATGATTCTCCAGGAGCTGTCGAGTTTTTTCTGAAGAGTTAGACTGGCTGACCTGATGACCCTCTGATGGGCTTTTCTCTGAGACTGTTGCAGACACACCAAAGTTTTTATATTAATGTTTAATGATTTTCTCAGCTCCCCTCACCACCCTCTCTACATGTTGCCAGTCAGAGGTGTTACATGCTCCAAACTGTATCCCCAGAAATTTAATGTTCTTGATCTGCTCCACTGCAGCATCATTGATAAGGAGGGGTGTGCAACTTGGTTGATTTTTCCTGAAATCAACAACAGTTTGTTTTGTTTTATTGATATTCAGGATTAGATGGTTTGCATCACATCAGCCCCCAGATGGATCACCTACTCTCTGTAGGCCAGTTCGTTGTTGTCCCTGAGACCCACCACTGTTGTATTGTCTGCATACTTAATGATATGGTTCCTAATAGGTCATCTGGGTGAAGAGCAGTGGGATCCCTGGAGGAACCAGTGCTGAGGGAGATTTTTCCCAACCCTCAAAACTGGGGTCTGTCTGTGAGGAAAGCCAGTAGCCAGTTACATACGGGGGTGTTGAGCCCAAGGGGAACTGGTTTGCTCACCAGGTGCTGGGGAATGATTCTTGACTTCAGCTCATCATTCAACACAAACAGCATTTGCACATGAGTATTCTTCTCCTCCAGGTGTTTCAGGCTGAGGTGCCGTGTGGTGTAAACAGCATCCTCTGTGCAGCGGTTGGAGCGGCAGGCAAACTGGAGCGGATCAAAAGAGGAGGGACGTTTTGAAATGATGTGATCCTTCAAAAGCTTCTCAAACCACTTCATCATGATGGGAGTGAGAGCAACAGGGCGATAGTCATTCAGTGATGAAATTGTGGGATTTCTGGGCACTGGAATGATGATTGCCATCTTGAAGCAGGATGGAACGACAGCACAGCTTCACAAGATGCCAGCGAGGACGTGAGCCAGGTGGTCAGCACAGTTCTTGAGAACCAGACCTTGTATGTTATCAGGGTCTGCTGCTTTATGCATGTTGAGTCTTCTCAAGGTCCTCTGAACATCAACTGTCTCCAATCTGAGTATGTGTTCACCTGGTTGAGGAGTGGATTTTCTCACAGCAGTGTCATTGAGGGCTTCAAAACGGCCAAAGTGCATCCAGAAAGTCTGTACCGTCCTCGCAAGACAAAGGAGCAGCCTTGTAGTCTGTGATTGTCCTGATGCCTTGCCACATGTGCCTGGTGTTTGCTGATTCATTGAAAAATTGCTGAATTTTCTGAGCATAGGCACGTTTTGCAACTCTGATGGCACGGTTTAGGTCGACTCTGGCTGACCTGAGCATCTCTCTGTCCCCAAATTTAAAAGCAGAGTTTTGTGCCTTCAGCATCTTACGCACCTCCTTTGTCATCCAGGGTTTCTGATTTGCCCTTGTGGTGATGACCTTGGTCACAGAGACATCCTCCATGCACTTCAGGATGTACGCAGACACTGATTTGGCATACTCCTCAACATTAGTGTGATTGTTTGCGGTTGCAGCTTCCCTTAACACATCCCAATCTGTGCATTCAAAACAGTCCTGTAGTGGTGACACGGATCCTGCAGGCCAGACTCTCACCTGCTTCTCAAGGGGTTTTCCTCTGATGAGCAGCGGCTTATATGCAGGAATTAACATTACAGAAAGATGGTCTGATGAGCCAAGGTGGAGGAAGGGTACTGCCTTAATATTTGTGAAGGCTCTATCCAGTGTATTTGAGCCTTGTAAAAGGCGGCCCTTTTGTTGCTGAATTTACAGTGGAGATGAAAGTCGAGGCAGAGTCAGGTGGAAACAGCAATGGTTTATTCTTCCAGAACACAGAACAATACCACAGGTGAAACTGCATCCTTAAATAGTCCCAGCTGTGAAGAACGGTCTGCATTTTATGGTCAAAAACTCAATGTCTCGGGAGCCATGAGATGAGACCACCTTGGCATTAATGCACCAGCTGTTATTAGTGTAGCCTCTGGTTTTACCACTGAGAGCGCTGCTCCTATCCAAACGGAATGTTGTCATTCCCACAATGTTGACGGCATCATCAGAAATAAAGGAGTTTAGCCATGTCTCAGTTAGAATTATGGCATAGCAGTTACTTATCTCACGATTTGATGTCATATCCAGCTTTAAATAGTCCAGTTTGTTCTCCAGAGACTGAACGTTAGCGAGCAAGATAGATGGAAGCAGCGTTCTCCAAGGATTACACTTAGTCCTCCCCAGGGTCTGAGCTTATGCTTCCTTTCATAGCGCGTCTGTAGTGGTGGCATTCACTGCTTCATTGGCCACTGGGACTGGCTGGCATAACAGTCCTAAGCTGTCCAGAGTTTCCAGAATTTCAGTGTCCACTGTCTGTAGTATGCAGGATATATATAGTTTTAAGATAAACTGATGATCATATATTACCCTGCCATTATTATGCCAGAGGTTTTCTGTTGTATTAGTTGATATAAATGTCTTTTCATGCCTTATAAGTTCAATGTTTTCAGGAGCCGTTGCAGGCACAGCCAAACAGGGTGCCGTCATGGCAACAAGAATAGTGAGAATATACTTAAGAAATGTAAAAAAAAAAAAAAAAAGTCCAATTTGCCAAAAAAAAGATTTGACTTTTATCATTTAGCTGGGTTTCTTTTCACTGTAAGATTTTTCCTCTAAAAAGCATCTCAGTCTGGAATCTGGGTGGATTCTGCACCATCATGTTCAGCTCACTCTGCTCATTTTAACAGATGAGGAAATCTGCAGTGTTCTGGTGACTCCTATAGTCTACAGCCTGAGAAGGCTTTCCTAACACATTCAACTCAATCACTCTGTGTTCTTTGGAAGCTATAAACACCTTGTGATTGACTGGTTTGATTTTCTTACATTAAATATGAATGACACTACTGAGCATAGTGGCTTTTTGAAAGCCTACTGCATATGCACTGATGGCATTATTCATGTGTTCCAAACCTGGAAGACGATAACGAAGGCGAGGCGGACGGCCAGAATGGCCCAGAACTCCTTGGACAGTTCATACGGTGTGTTGGACCAGGGAGGCTCTCTGTAATCCTTATACCTACACAAGCAAACACACACAATGAGTTACTGAAGGTTTCATGCCCTGCTTAAAGGCTTTGGAATCTCTTCATTATTGTCACCATAGTAAAACTTTCCTTGCAGGAAGATGAAAAACATAAAGCAGAAACAATCACTCTACAACAACGTAAAGAAAACTTCAGGGAAAATGATCAATACAAATATTGGTTAAAAATGATCAGAAAATAACAAGCACATTTTGAATTTATCTGAATAATAATCTTAGCAATGGAAGACTTTCCATCTGTTGACAGGTTCTGAATCTCATTCCTTAAACTCCTAGTAGTGGCTGTTTATCAGTTTCATTGTAAAGCCACTATATTGTTCAACAAGCTTCAGTTTCTTTTGTTGACCTTCATTAGCTTAGCACTTAGCCAAGGGCATAAATTCCACCTCAATATTGGGGAAGACCATAAACAGGAAAATTTCTTAGGACCAGTTTTGGGGGGGTCGGCAAAGTTACAGTGAAATGTAACGTGAAATGATGTTTAAAAAGTTTTTAAACCACATTCAAGCTGCAGGACCAAAAATGACTAGTAGTGCATATAAAAAACTATTGAGAAATAAAACTAAAATTCAAATGTTGTTTAGATACGATTTTTTTACAGTGTCACTGATCTAATCTCTGCTACACGTTTACTGCATGTTTATGTCTGTTAAGGCTAAGATGGAACAGCACTGAAAGCAGCTCTTAAACCATTCAGACTACGACCACAACAGAGACACAATCAAAACTGTCAGATGACTGAATACCCCGCGATAATAACTCAGAAATAGCCCAAATAGTTTGGATGGATTTATATATTTCCTACTTACGGAAAATTTCTGTTTATATCATAGACTTTGAAAGTTTCTATACTAAAGAGAAAAATATAAAATGTCAGATATTTCACAACGAGATATTAACATACATGGAAAAACCTTACATAATCTTGTATTAAAGCAGAAAGTACGGAGGCCACCATAAGGCTTACAATATTCAATTATGCCACATGAACTGATCAGTAGATTATTTCGAGGAAAAGGAAAACCTTTTAGGAGGGGACGCAAAACCTTTTGCGAGGGAACGCAAAAGTATTCCGAGGGAACGCAAAAGTATTCCTAGGGAACGCAAAAGTATTCCTAGGGAACGCAAAAGTTTGTATGGAAGCCCATTTCTGCCATGAAAGAAAAATTAGAAGACCAGCAGTCATAAATTAGTCATAATTATGAGATTTAAAGTCATAATTTTGACTTTCAAAGTCATAATTATGAGACTGGACTTTGAAAGTTTTTGAAAGTCCTAATGGACTTCCATATTTTTGAGCTTAAAAAAAGGGCTTCCATAAATCTCATAAGACAGCGTGTCTACTGAAAAAAATGACAAAATTGGCTGTTTTGGAAAGTCGAAATTATGACTGAATCTCATAATTATGACTTTGAAAGTCGAAATTATAACTCTGAATCTCATAATTATGACTTTGAATCTCATAACTATGACTTTGAAAGTCAAAATTATGACTTCTTGTTGATCTTCTATTTTTTTCTTTCATGGCGGAAATGGGCTTCCATAGGGTTTTGCGAGGTAACGCAAAAGAAAAAAATTCCCCATGTCCCCTGGATGGCTCCGTACCACAATATGCTCTTGTGCATCTCTTAGTGAATTAAAGACGTACTTACAAAATCCACACAAAGTCTGACGAACGACGAACTTTACTTTTCTTTGAGCAGATATTACAAAGGATTCTTTAATCTTGCACAGCATTCCACATGTAACGGTCAAAAAACTGTGTAGAGCTCAATTAAACACGCCACATTAAATTTTCTTTCGGCACTAACGTGACACAGCACTTTTAATATATTTTCAATTACGTCCATTAGGTGGCGCTTTTCTACAAAAAACATACTAAAATGGAATCTTACGTTAAGAAAATATCTAAATAGGCAAACGGCATACCCAATAATATACAATGTTACAAACTGACATTTTTGGCTCTTACACTCCTAATGAAGTGAGTGACTAGGGAACAGGGAATGTTTCTGTTAGATCAGGTCATTTACTCCCAGTAATCCTGTCAGCCAGGTTTTTATAACACTGAACACCCTCCACAGGTTCCCCTTTAAAAAGAACTAGAGATGGGGAACTGGACTTCTGTCTAAAATAAGATTGATAGTGTGAGACCTTACCTGCAGACCTTTACATTGAAGTTAGGGGGATTTGGTTCTGTACCATTCTGAAAGTCACTGACGTTGAAATATGACAACGTGTGGTTGACAAAGCCATGCATAGTCCCATCAGGACTGTATGTGTACTGGTAGACGAGCCGAGGGACAAAGTCAGATGTGAAGGCGATGACGAAAGCCTGGGAAAGAGAAACGCTCTGTAGCTACTTTGCTGTTTCAATGAGCAGCCTCCATTAATACCGCAAAGAGTTTGATGACAAGATTCATTTTTATGAGAACTATCATATGCATCGCAGGAAAGCTTTATATAAATTAAATCCAACGTGCAGCATAAACTTCACTGATAAAGAGAAGTAAGACTTACATTAACAATGACGGCCACCTTGCTGAGGCCCCTCAGCAGGTTGTACCAGATACCTGGAGAAAGTAAGAACAGTCATTCAGCTGCAAACAGCACACGTAGAAAACTCACAACTAGACAGTGGAAGTACCCTCTGTATCAGAGTGGAGAATGAACATGATGCTAGAAAGCTGGGGAACTAAGGATCCTATTTCAACTATTTTATCATTTTTAATAACCCTTCAGAAAATTTGTATTACTCCTAGAATTCCACATAATTCAAAATAAGTAAAACTTTCTTTATTTCCCTCAACCAGAAATTAAGTATCCTCATAATTCATATCATCCATATGATCCTGGATCATCATGATGGAATGAAGGAGTTGGTCTGAACTTTCTCCTTCTCTCTCTCTCTAGTCCTGCTCTGCTTCTATGAAGTCTAAATTTTATCTCCTCTGGGAACCTTTGTGTGCCCTCCTAAAAGGTTTTCCTTTTCCTCACAATAATCTACTGATCAGTTCATGTGGCATAATTGAATACTGTAAGCCTTACAGTGGCCGCCGTACTTTCTGTTTAATACAAGATTTGGGGTCAAAGTTCAGGTTTTATTTAAGCTTTTCAGAAGCCAATCAGCTGCTTGCAATTAGAAAAAGAGTAATCCTGAAACTATCTGCATAGCCTCCAGGATCAGACGTAACTACCATCCCACATAGCAATGCCTCAAAAATAAAAAAACTATGAACAAAAGCCTAGAAATAGAACCAATTTCCATGTTGGGGAAAAAAATACATTTAGGGATATTTTTACTATGCTGTAATTTTTACTTTTAGTTGAGTAATTTAATTATGAGTATCACTGCTATTATGCGACTAAAACTCCTGGTTGGGTATCTGACAATACAGACTGACTTTACTCAGGTTTTCGTCAGCTATCAGATGAACTAATCGTCAGGATGAATAGTGAAAGCTTCATGGCATTACAAAGTCAGTCAATTTCATAAATGGATATGCACATCAATATTTCAGTCAAATTTCTAGATATGAAGATATCTAATGTTTTGTCATTGCAGATACGCAGCAGAGGTCCCCTGACGGACATCAGAGGAAGTTTCTGTCAGTATTGTCCTTTACTTTCCTGACTGTTAAAATGCTTTCTGCACTCAATGGTCCACAAACATAAATTATGACATCCAGAAGATGGACATTTGGACTGTTTCAGTTAATTGTCTGCCCTCCAGAAATCAAAGTTACATAAGATGTGTCAGCGTTAATTGTGTGTGTGTGTGTTTTTATCTACAAAAAATTTTTGAACCCTGGGCAGCTCACTCTGAATCTGTCCAATCTGCTTAAATAAACATGCATATAAGACCAGATATGTTTTTGATGGATTGTATTTAATATTACAGTCAAACTACATACTCAATATGAACCCCTGTTACCACTGATTGGATTACATCAGCTGGCCTTATAGCCAGCTGATGTTTCAGAAACATACCAATGTCCTTGACTTTGGCTGCAATGGGCCTCCGCAGCTCCAAAACAAACTTCTTGGCATCCAAGCGGATTTCAATGATGTTATTCAGAAGAGCAAAGAGCGGCGCCAGAGGGAAGGAGGCCACAAAGAGCGTCACCATGCCAAACTGGATAACTGAGGAGACAAATGATGGGTGAAATGTCCAAAATGTCATTTTCAGAGATTACTCCAACACTGCAGACAGGAAGTGGAAGAGACGGGTATTGCGGGCCACAGGCCTGTCAGCAGCAATCTGGGTAACATGCAAACTATAGAAAAAGGACACAAATGTCATCATGTCTGAAATCATTAGATAAAGTAAACCTGAAGGTTCTGTTTGACAGATTCAGTTCACTGAAAAAACAGAAAAAGTGAATATTTGGTAACACTTTATTTGAAGGGGGTTGAATAAGACTGACATGACACCGTCATAAAAACCTGTCATGAACATGAATAAGCCTTTATGAATATTTATGACTGTTGTCATAAAGCGTCATTCGGTAAATGACAACACTTTTAATACAAAGTTGACATTATTCAAAATGTCTTTGTTATGACAACTTGACATTAACCAAGAAATCATTACTGATATAAATTTGCTATAAAAGAATTACTGATTGCACTTTAAAAATTAGGTATCTTTATGTTATTAAAGGTAAAGTTTAATCAGTAATGATTTCTTGGTTAATGCCAAGTTGTCATAAAGACATTTTGAATAATATCAACTTTGTATTAAAAGTGTCATAATTTACCGAATGACGCTTTATGACAGTCATAAATATTCATGAAGGCTTATTCATGTTCATGACATGTGTTATGTCATGTTTATGAAAGTGTCATGTCAGTCTTATTCAACCCCCTCCAAATAAAGTGTTACTGAATATTCACATCTATAAACAAGGAGGATATTTTTAGAATGAAGAAAAGGATTACAACTTCAGACATCCTGGGGATTATTTCATCTTAATCCTGCTCAATCTGAACAACACTGGATAGAAAAAGAAGCAGCCAAAAAGCTCCACTTTAATCTCACATTAATTTCCCATCTAGAAAATGCAATAACCTGGAAAAAGTCTCGATAATGTGACTATGAGGCTGATTCAGTGTAAAACAGCGAATGGTGTCGAGTCATGTTGTGGTTTTGTTTTAAGGTAGTGGAAGTCTGAACACATGTTCTATGTTCCTATATACTGCAAAGTTTTCCTGGATGGATTATTCAGGGCTGACAGAAACACTTAAAAAAGAAGAGGCTCCAGCATTGAAACAATGACATAACTGAGTCTCACTCCAGCTCTGAGAGTCTGATGTAAAGAGATGGATCCAAGGTTGGCTGTACCGTCTCTTTAAGGTGATTCAGTCTTGATCTCAACGTTTTGAACCGGTGGGTTGTCAGAAACATTTAGCTAAATGTTGATCATGGAAAGTGTCTTCACAGCAGAATTGGTCCAGTACCCCACAGAAACATTTGCCTGCAGAAGACCTTCTTCACAAAAATGTTGATCCTCTAGCATCCTGTAGACTTAACTCCTTCTAGCTGCTGACTGAAAGGTATTATGTTAAACTTTCTTATTTTAAATATGAAACACGAATGATCAGTAAGTCTGGACTCATTGAACAACTTCCAAGTGGAAACTATATTAATGCTGTAGAACAGGGGTCCCCAAACTTGAGGGCCACATAATTTTTCCCTTCTCTGGTGGGGGGCCGGAGTCAGTCTGTAACAGAAAAAGTGTGACGATTGCAGGAGTGCCTAAATGTAAAAATGTCTTGTTTTCCAGAAAGCACAATAAAATAACCCTCTCTGGGTTCTTCACAGAATAAATCCAGGAAGGATTGTAGTCCGTATTTTCCAAACTATGAACTGCAGCGGCCTATAAGCCACAACCCCAAAGTTTTTTTTTGTTTTTTTTTTTTATTAAAAACCCAGTAAACATACACATAAACCGCAGATATCTCTGCCGCCCCAGGTTTTCCACAACAATGCAGCAGCAGAGGGGGGCGGACACCCAAAATTTGAGTAATAACGGGTCAATTGAATATCACATTTATTACGGTTGAAAAAGAAAAAGTTGCCAAGTTTAGATTAAACTGAACTGATTACGGTAGTTTCCGAACGGTAACAGTAACAGTAAAAGTGTTGATCCTTCGTGTCTGCTACTAGAATGTGCTAAATGAAAATAGGCGCTTTCTTCTTCTTTAGATTTCAACAGCAGCTTGCATCCATTATTGTTGCACTACTGCCATCTTCTGGATCCTAATATCTATACCTCAAATTCTCATAATGATCCCAGTATTATTTAAAAAAAAAAAAAAAAGAAAAAAAAAGAAAACTCTTTTTCCCCTCAATGCTATTTAACTGATCAACAACATTCTCAAATTGCAATTCCCTATTAAAACCTAATTCCGTTTTAATGGGCGCTTTCTTCTTTTATTTCCAATTTTGACTTCCAATGATTCACCTCCTGCTAAAGAGCCCCCTAGTGCTTACAGTCCGGAAAATACGGTATATGAAAAAAAATCTGAACGCTCTTTGGTATTGTTCAGGGGGCCGGACCAAATGTGGAGGCGGGCCAGATCCGGCCCGCGGGCCATAGTTTGGGGACCACCGCTGTAGAATATTTGGTCCAACACATTTAATGTTGAAACTGTACATTTACAGTACTGTATAAAAACAGAACAGCGCTGGGAAGGCAGTTGACCCAGGGCGCCAAACAGGCTAGGACTGCCTCTGAATGGATGGCATGATGAGAAAAAAAACATAATGTGGAAAAACTGAAACAAATTCTCAAGCCATAAGCCAGAAAGTTAAAGGCTAGGAACGAATGGGTTAAAAACGTCAACAGATTTTGTAAATGGAGATTGGAATTAAAGAACAACAAAATGAATAGATTGTAGTGGTCATAGAGCCCTGATCAATCTCAGTAAAATTTGTCAGATGAGCTGAAAACTGATTTGTGAGCAAGTTGGTCTCCAAACTTGATCCAGTTCTTCCAGTTCCATCAGGAGGAAATGGCAGAACACAGCAAATACCTTCTGGAAGGAAACCCAAAAAGTTTGAGCAAAGTCATCCAGCTCAGAGGCAAGGCTAATAAATACAAAGGAAATGTATGTAAGCTTCTCACTCTGAAGATGTAAGAATATTTTGCGTTTGAGACTAGACAATATGATGATTAGATTTGATGTTTATTTTGACTACGAGTCCAAATAAAAAAGGTTCGAACGCCCTAATGATGACCATGCTTCTCTATTCGACTTGTTCTCGTGGCTTTCAGGTAACGGTTGGAGACAACTCCCAATAAAACTTTTCACACCGGTGTTTATTGTATTGGGGTTACTAATGTCCTTGTCTTGTTGTGTGATTCCCCTACTTAAACGGTTAGCAGAAAATTTTATTAACGTTCATCTCTTGAAGTATACTTTTCTTACACACACATCTTCTGATCAGTTCCGAAACCCTACCCGAGTGATGATTCTGATGACTTGGATTTTTTGTCCTTCAGTGATAAGGAGGTTAATATGTAATGTTTTGTTTTCTTTGTTTCTTAAGTAGTGTTAATCACTGATGTCTTTGGGCTAGTTTTCTAGCTTAGCTTTCCTATCCTGTTTAGAAGATTACAGAAATGTCTCTGTTTCACAAAAAAAAAAAATCCTCTCGATTCTGCATGTTCTCAATGTGCACTCTATGTTTTGATTTTACATTTTATTTGACGTTTTACTTTAAAATTAATTTTTGTTGGAGTAGGGTATTTCATTGTTCTATTATGTTTCCTTTATTTGGTAATATGTTTCCTTTATTTGGTAATATGTTTCCTTTATTTGGTAATATGTTTAATTATTTACATTATTTTAATCTGGGGGTTTATTTCATGTTTTCATTTTTTCTTTTCTTTTACTGTTGTTGGGACATTGGTTTTAAAATGCTCAAAGGGATGTGATTTGGTATAAATTGTATTTCTAACTACTTACAGGGGGCATTTCCTATTAACATTGAATTTTTGTTTGACACTGTATACATTGATTACTTGATTCATTTTCTATTTCTTTTCTTTGTTTTTACATGATATTTTTTGTGTTTTATTTCTTAAATGATTGTTATGATACCTCCTTAATTTTCCTGGAAAACATATAGAAGACTCTCTCTGGCAAAGAGAGGTTGCAGGATAACTTTTCCTACCTAACACAGTGATATTGATATGGGGTTGAATGTATAAATGCCGGTAGGCTTTTTGTGTCTTGCATATATGTTTTGTTACGTCTTTCAGGATAGTGTGTCATGTTATATACATATTTTAACCAAGGAGGAAGATGTTGAATAATATTAAATATTTACATATTTACTTATAATCAAAAGGAGGGAAATTGTGGTGGAGAATTCCTACAAGTTAACATCTGTTGATTATGTTATATTAAATGCTGGTGAACTCTCACCAAAAGAAGCTATTTTGGTGAGAGTTGTTTTCTACAGCTGTATCAGAACCAGACTGTCTCACCCCTTGTTTTGGATCCCTTATTTTTGGTATAAAACTCATGTGTTGTCTCTGCATGGCAGAGCTTTTCACCCAGAAATGCTTCATTATTGATTGTCCTACAAGCTCTCTGTATTGTGCACAATATATGAATAAACCTGATTGAGTGATTTCACCTGACAGTGCTTGGTAAATAGTTTTTTTTTTCCACAACAATTTTACAAACACTTTTTTAGATACACTCTGATCTAAACAAATACATGTTTTTTTAATGCTGAAAATACTTACTCATCTCCATGTACTCAGGGTTGATGCCAACAAAAGGACCCAGAACGTGATCTTTCTCATAGCGCTTCAGAGTTTTGTGGAGCTCCTCTTCTTGCTTGGAGGTCAGTTCTGACTTTCTTTTCCGGAGAAGTTTCTTTAGCTTCCTGAACAAACCAGGGTAGAAGTTCAACACTTCTCAGACTGGAGGCCAACAGTCTGAGGATGCATAGTGAGAACTAAAGAAAAGGTCAGAGCTTTTAAAGGTGGCCAGACGGTACATAACTTTCCCCAATGACAGACTGGTTCTAGCATATTTTTTGCATGACATATCTTATTAGATATGTCATGCAAAAAATATGCTATATTACACATCAGATATTACATATGTAATTCCTGATTAAGAATTATGATTTGTCAAACCAATTAAAACCAGCTGCATGAATACCTTATTCATTAAATCACTTATAAAACCCCACATCTCGTCACAGGAGCGAGACATTCCACAAAGCAGAAAAAGAAAAATGTCAGAATCAAACTCTGGGGATTATGTTGACTGATGGTGACCATAAAGATATAAATCCCATTAAAATCTGAGGAGGAGATTGCTTTCTAAAAGAGCATGGAGAGGAAACAGGAGGAAAGGAACTGGAATTGAATCTGATCAGATTTTGTCTTATGTCAAATGTGAATATTAACAGGGTGTGTTTGTAGTGATACATCTGTCAGATTTTGTAATCTAGGTTGAAAATTTAGAATATTGAAAAGTTATCAGCTAACTTCATCAAGTAGTGCTTTACTAAGGGAGGTGGAGCAGTGAGTCTGAAAACATTCAGTCTGGTCAGCAGACATCAGTAGAAAAGAGGAGCAGATGTGGTTAAAAATCATTGTCTAATTCCTTCTGCCACATGTTATTCTGCCCTTTGGTAAGGCACTTAATAGGTTATCTGCAAATCTGCACATCCATGTACGTATGATGGTGTCCACATGTGTAAGTGACTTCTCAGTAAAAGCTGTTGAAACGTATTTTAATTGTTCCCCAGAGAAAGAAAGAAACAAAGAAATAAAATTAAAAAGAAATATCACAGAGAGCAAACAATGTTCTTTGATGACTGTGGAGACATTTCATGTTTTGTCTGCAGGTTGTCGGCTAGTTTTCATTTAGTGTCAGTCAGATTACTTTTATGGATTTGCTTTTGCAATTATCTGGAATACTGGTGTCTGAAAAGCAGACATTTACATGACTTCTGTAAGTACAGCTGAGTAGGTGTGCATAATGTATTCTGTGATATGCTCAGCCCACACAGTGTGACCTGGGAGAATGTGCTATTATGCTGGTGTTCAGTGCGTCTCAGGTAGAAGTGTACTCACGGTATGCCAATCTCAAAGAGGTTGTTCTGGATGAGCTGCTTGCCCAGCATGGTGATGCACAGCTGTATGCAAAGCTCCATGAGACAGCCAGCATGAGCACACTGAGCAAAGAGACGAGTCAGAACCAAACAGCAGAGAAAAACTATCTCGCAGTGAATCACAAAGGCAGAGAAGCAAACAAAGCAACAGTGATCCAGTCTCCTTAGGGTGGCTGATTAGTGCCACACAGGAAGCTCCTTACTCTTTTATTACTTCTATAATAACTCATTTTACGCAACATGTTTTTAATTTTCATCAACTATTTTGTAAAATCTACAGAGTCTCCCAGGTGACATGGGGAAAAAATTTCTTTTGCGATACCTCGCAATAAATTTTGAAAAATAACTCGGAGGGTGATGAACAGAAACTTTCTTATATTTTAGAAGGGATGGAAAGAGATGGAAAGCCCATGTTTGCTTTTGCATTTTGCACAGGTTTGTGATGCATTTCTATCATACAGAAAAATATATAAAACTTCAGATCTCTCATAGAAATCAGTTTTCACTGACACTGAAGATTTTTTTGTCTTATGGTCAAAAAAGCTGTTTTCAAATTTTTTTCCCATGTTTGATTTTTAGAAAGGCAATAAAAGTGTTAAAAATCCAACAGGGTGAATACTTTTTGTCCACACTGTAAGTTCAAAATCATTTCAGTATCAAGCGTAGCCTAAAGTCATTAAATTGGAGAAACAAGTCTAACGCAGTCATGAGTCACATGATTCGATTCCACACCTCACTGAATACTGATACTTAATAAAACTGTTGTTCATCTAATTCATGAGACTCGAGAGATAAAACCTGCAACATCAGGAAGGAGATGAAGAACAAATCGGATTGTTACTCCATTTAGTATAATCATTACCACACACACACACACACACACACACACACACACACACACACACACACAATGTAGATAAAGCGAATTACCTCCTCCATCCTGTAGGAGCCAACCACATACAGGTACTTTCCAGGTCTCCCAACAAGTCTGTGGACAAAACAAGCATCAATCAGACACTGTAGGATGAAGAGGGAATCCAGTCTGGTGTTAATGCTGTAATGCTTTAAGATTAATTAAACCACTAGTTAGAGATAAGAGCCAAAACAAGGAAGCAAGAGAGAGCGCTGTTTTACCTTCCTCTGAAGAAAGCCAGGTAGACGATGGGTGTGAAGGCATTAACGAACTTCAAGATGAATGTTTTGAAAATGAGGCGCTCCTCAAAACTCTTGTCTGTCTTTGGAACCTCTGGAAAAAGGATCACATTGGACTGGATAACAACACATTCAGCTGGAATTTAGAATGTTTTACAGCGATATTATTTTTTAATATTAACAATAAAAGGCCCCGTTTACACGACAACGATTTCGGGGGAAAACTGAAGAGTTTTGTTGCGTTTGTAGTGCGCATTTATACGAAACCACCGAATGTTTTCTCTGACAACGGCACAGATTGAAAACGGGTTCCAGAGTGCGATGTTTCTGAAACGTACCGTTTTCCGTTGTCGTGTAAACCGAGAAAACGTCATTCAATGCCATTTCTGACATTCTACCATGATTTTCTAAGACAGAACAAACAGCACTTAGGATAAGCTGACAATGTCTCAACTTGTTGACCAAGCTTTGAATGGTCAGTGATCATCAGTCCAGAGGACCCCCAATAATTCAAGTCACATATTTCCAAATTTTATGTGCCACACTAAAGTTTAACTAATGGCCTGTGGATTTTGTCCAAGAATCAGAAATAAAAAAATAAAAACACACAGAATATAGAGAGCAAACATAATATACTATATTTAATGGATGAAGTCATGTTTCCAGTTTACTCCCAGTAAACCGTAATGGTTCCTGAAGGCTGCTCACCCAGAGTGGTGAGCCAGCGGGCGATGGAAGCGTAGATCTCATCCAGGATGATGATGACGATAACATTGATAATGGCGGCGGTGGTTTTCACGGTGGCTCGGATGTTGGAGCGTGCAGCAGGGTAGGTGCTCAGATGAAGCGCAGTCTTGATGCTGATCCGGTACAGGATGACCCCAAAGGCGATCACAAAGGTTATGAAAATCTGAAAGGAAGGAGGGAGACAAACCAATGACAACCAGGAATCATCGGAGATGACCGATTCTAGCCTCAGCACTCTTGGAGGGTAAACAGATATCTGATAGTGCAATACAGTTTTAACATCACTGAGCCTCACAACCCAATAGAAAAAAATTCACAATACTTATTTTACCCTCACAGACACCATATAAAATAATTGTGCATGTTGTAGTTTTCGATAACTATGTCAATTGCAATGTTTGTATGATTAAATTGAAATGAATTTTTTTGTTTGTGGTGAATTGGAGCTATATAGATGAAGTGAACTGAATTATACACACACAGAGCAGCGGCTCAGTGGTTCTGCTAAATATCAACCTGTTTATTTTGTTACTGAAGGTTATCAGTGAATGCAGCTCAAACAGACTGATACCAGCAAAAGACATTCATTACCAAGGCACTACAAAAATAATTACACTTAAGCGCCTTAAAATAATGGAAATGCTGAATGTTTTTCATGTTTGTGAGGTCAGAGACTCCTTTAATGGAGTTCCACACAGACCCCATGGGCAGTTTTATATCTCCAACTTTACACTGATCAGCTGTAGCAGACTATGCAGTTCAACCTTAAACCTCTGATCCACCTAAAGAATGGAGGATTATATAAATAACTAAATTAATTAATGTGAATTGACTGCAATGCTAGAGTGATTAAGAATAGCATAAAAAGTTTTCAACAAACCATTTTCTAAATAGATTGTAAATAAAAACAAAATTATTTTTAGATACTGCCTTCAGACACTTATATTTTCATGGTTCTAATTTCCTAATAGGAAACATTCTTAGTTGAATACAAATAATTTAAAAAATAATCTTCTAGGAGTGCAAATAATTTTGGGCTTAACTATAAATAATCACAGATTATTTATAGTCTTGTGTTGTTCTCATCAGAAGACCCTAAACTTGGGTTGAGCCAAAACATGAAACAGTTTCTGTCATTTCTGCTTAATATTTAAACTGTATGTATATCCTCTAAATGTCAGGACTTCCACGTTTTGTTGAAAGGCCTTTTGAATGATCTGTTTTCTCGTTTGTCTTGAAGCAGTGGATGAATGTGGAAGACTGAGTCTCACCATAAAGCTCATCATGACCACAGTGGTCAGGTAAGCTGGCATTCTGTCTGTACACGTTAGCTTCACTTTCTCATCCTAAAACACACAAAAGCAAACACAGACATGCATGAATAAAAGAACAGAAAGTATAAATACATAAAATCTCTTCACTGTGGGTGTCCAACCCATGAATGTGGGACACACAGGTCATGAATGAACCCATGAATTCATGGGTTGTGTTGAATATCCGACTGGTTTAATGACGAAAAGGAGTCGTGTGGATTTTCAGATGAACTTTAGTGGATTAAGAATGAACGAAACATACATACATTACAGAGAGTCGGAACTCAGCTAAGATACAAACTAACTGCGGCTGTTAGGAAAAGAATTATCATCACCATGGAAACAGGTTCCCGAGCAACATGGGATACGGAGTCCGCTTTGCCATAGGCCACAAATAGTCCACTTTCTAACCAGATACTAACTACAAAATGACAACTAAATCTATGAAACAATTACAACTAAAATAGTTATATTAAACTACAATATCCCAAATAATAAGTCCTAAGCAAATTCTAGTTAAATCAAATCAAACAAATTCTCAACAGGTTGTACCATGAATGTTGGGCCATTCTTTCCAGAATGGCCCAACAGTTGCACACATTTGGCAACATAAATGTGTGCATGCTGCAGCTACAGCTGTAGTGGAGCAGAACTAATGCTACCCTGAGCCATCACGTCACATCCAAGCCCACAGAATGAGGTCAGGGTGCTGGGGCCACTGTGTGTGTTCATTTAGGGAAGGAAGATGTAACCTTGGCGAAGAGCAGAGGGCTGCTAACCAACAGCCTCAGCTCTCGGCCTACCTTGTGTTAACATGAATCTCTTTACTCACCGCATCACTTCCTGCTTAAGAATAAGCTGCTACTAAACAACATTTCATTTATCTGAGCTACTAGAAAATAACTGGTCCTTATTGTGCTGTTCATTGTGATCAGAGGAATATATCATGAGGACAATTGGGTAATTATTAAGAATTCCCATTGATGATTTTTGCAGCTAAAAGTGGCCTCATGTTTAAGATGGATTTTTTTCTGATTGAAACAAAAAGTCAACAATATAATAATCAAAAACTGAATACAAAGTTCTTAATACTTTATTAATCCCAAAGGGAAAAGAAATGGTTCTTCAAAAAGGTTGCAGTGCTGATGGCTGCGCAAAGGAAGGATCTCCTGTAGCAGTCTGTATTACAGCAAATCTGACAAAGCCTCTGACTGAAGATACTTTGCTGTTGTATGACAGTCCATAATTTTCTTGATTCAATATCAGTATGTTTTATAGATTTCCTATTTTCAAGGAGTTGCCATTGTCCCCACTGGTCAGAAGGTGCTTATGGACAAACATAAGCATACCTGATGCCCTCTGGAAGTGATTTTCCAGAGAGCATCCGCTTCATCAGACTCCTCTGACCTCAGTCCTACCTTTGCGGCTCCTTGGTCTTGTCTCATGGTCTTTTCTGCGACCCGCAGCTCATACTCAGCTCTGTTGTGGTCCTTCAAGAGACAGCAGTTAGCCTGTTACATTTAATCAGATTGAAATTTACTGAGCAAGCACAAGATAAATGTCCTGAAAGACATTTATCTTCCAAAAAAGGAAGGAATGTTAAGAAGCATGTGAGCGTTGAAATGAGCATCATAAGCAATGTGTGTTTGAGGCTTCGCTTGTAAAAGAGAACAGTGCAGCACCAGGGTTAAAGAGGAGCATATCCAAAAAAAAGCTGCAGCTACAGCTAACTGATGGGAACTAAATGTATAAAAGTTACATACTGCAGCTTTAATGTAACATTATTGATCTGAGATTTGATCTGTGATTTTCACTGTCAGCGTCAACGTCAATGGCGAGGTTGATAACAGTGTTCCAGCAGCTTAGAGGATGGAAGTAAAACTCAGGCTCTGTTTAAGTTGGATGTTTGCCTCGTCTTTTCCATCCCCTACCATCTCTTCCGATTACTGCGACTTTTGGTTTTTTTGTTTAAAGGTGGAAGCAAATGCTGGACATTCTTCTTACCACATAAGCACTACTGTTCACCAACATGAGATGACTACACAAGTTTAATTTTAGGTATTTGGTCGGATAAAATAAAATCATTAACCTTGTTGTCAATAAATGTCATCGGCTTGGTCATTACCAGTGGTACCCATGACAAACCTGGACAGGGAAGCGGAACGACCAGACTTAGAAGTTTGTAGAATTCCTCATTAGGATCCAACATGTGGTTCTATGTGAGCCAGCAGAGCTTTACTCATCATGACTTCCTCTGGATGACTAAAATAACCTGCAGAAGTCCAACACAAGCACCTAAAAATGGTACAGTTAGCTGGTTCCTTAGTAGATCATGATACCTTTCTGGTCATTTGAGTGCTAATAAGAAATTGTTTATCTAAAAACCAAAGTGAGGGAAAAAGGCACAAAGAAGAGCAAGAGTCTGCACAGCGTCGTCAGCAGCAAGAGGCCCAAGCTGCAGTGAGGCCCACCTGGCTGTTCTCAGAGGAACAGCCAGGAGCCACGGCTGAAACTCTACAAGGCCAAAAAACAGGAGCCAGGCCAGGCAGACGGTTAGGCTCCAGAGAGCCAGATGGGGGTTAGGTATCAGCAGCTGCTTACAAAGAAGCACAGATTAAAAGGAAATAAAGGGAATCAGATCCAAACCTTATAGTGCTCCTGTGAATTACAACACACGCGCGCACGCACACACACACACACACACACAAGTCAGTGTCTGCAGATGAAACTGTTCTAAAGTTCTTCACCAGCAACAGAGACTGGCCTCTGCCTCTGCTAGACACAGAAAATGCAGCGCTGATGGCTCAAACTGAGCCAGAACAGCTGCAGAGGCAAGCAGTATTTACAGAACACTAACAGAACATTTACAGAGGAGTGATATTTTCACCTGTCAGAACTCAAACATCTTGTTACTGCTTTGAAAACAATCTACATGAATATCTTGCAGGTTTTCATAAAGTTTTCTGCAGGTTTTCATGTTGAGGGTCAGTTTGACTCTTCATGTCAGAACATGTCTTGAGAAATCTACTGCTGGGCATTCTGTAATCTTAGCGTTTCTACTGAGACCAATTCATTTATCCTAACATTAAGATTTATTTAAACTTTTATGAGGACATTAAAAAATGTTTCATGTATTTATAAGCATGCATATATTAAAACATTTCCATTCAAGTTGAAGTTATCAGGCAGAGAGTTCTGTTCTCCTGTCTCATGTCCTTCCAGTTTGCCAGTTCATGTCTCAAAGTTATCACAATTAGTAACAACAGAGTGAAGGCTGGCTCTAATTGGTTAAAGAACCGTGAGAATGAATTTAAAGCCATTTATTAAACAGAAAAATTGATTTAACAGAAAATGAGTGGTTGTCATGCAATTATTTCATAAGTTTATATCAAATTTTATTCAAGGGCCGAAAGAGTCATCATTTGCTATAAAATGTGACAATTTTTGGTTTTTATTAATAGAAATTCTTTGACAGACTTAAAGCGATATCTTTCAATTCCGTTTTCCATAAAAAAGGCTCATGTTTTCAGCCATTTGTATGAATTTCCCTCATCATGTAGGACAGGTTAGTGTTATATCCGGGTAATCTCACCTCCTCTTCCATTCCATAATCTGTCAGGTCCCAGACGTAGTTGAGCCGCATCTGGCGCCTCTTCCAGTGCTCCATGAAGAGAACAGCTGCAGAGGCGAACAGCAACACAACACAGTCACTACACACACTTCTCTGCAGCTGAACATCAGATTATCAGCATTCTGAACATAAATCTGAGTTTTTACAGCAAATATATAAACCACATGTGAAGGAAATGTTACTGTCATGATAAACAAAGACTGTGTAAATCTTTGTCTTCCAACTAAAACTGATTTTTAAGCTGAGTGAAATGACACTAAAGAAGAGCTCTCTGGTGGGTCATCCAACTGTCATTTCTTAAAGTTAATATTGACCCGAACACTTAGAATATGTATGCATGTTTCAGATGTCTGGACGTCTGACCTGAAACCCCTCCCCATCCCCCCCACAAAACCATATTTGTCAATATTGCAATTTCCCAGCAAATTTAATTGAGGTTCATCACCATGTCCAACTGGAGCTCCAGTTCTGATCTGATTTATTCACACGTTTTCTGAAGTTTAAGTTAAAGATCAGATGCAGGTTTTGTTATGTAGCTCCATTATTAATCTGGAGCGAGAGGCCAGCTCCAGATTGCTGCAGTGCTGAGACACTGTCAGACACGAGCTTTATGTGAGCACAACACTTCTGCAGTCTGAAGCCCTGCTGCTGCCGACAGATGGCTGGGAGATTTGGGAGGACATCAGAGGAGGGCAGTCTGTGTGTTGGCCTTATGGATTTGTTTCGGAAATTTCTCCTAATCAGGATTCAAGTTGCAGCTAAAACTCCTTTCTAATCTTACCTTGAATGGTAGAAAAAAAAAAAGATTTTGTTGACAACATGCCTGCGGATGCAGATGAGTTATAATTTGCACCATTTTTTGTGCACACTTACCCCAAAGAGCCATGAAGATGGAGAAGAAGACTGTTGCTGGGTTGTCAAACAGATGGCTGGCTCTGGCTGTGCCACACGCCGTCTCCAGCTTCCAGTAGCTGCAGGCACTGTCACACAGCGGACACATGGTGATGTTGTTCCTGGGATCACAGATCTCCATGCTGACAGACAGACAGAGAACCTGGATTACTGGATGGTCATCAGAAGGGTCTGCTTCATTAACACTGAGGGGACAGTGGTGAGGGAGAAGAGGTTTTGTTAATGCTGTATTTACACTTCATAGACTCTGATCGGAGACCAAAGCTGCAACATTTGTTCCATTTCCAGCTGCTGTGGTTCTCTTTCACAATGCACTCTGGTTCTCTTTGCCCCCTCGCCTGCGGGGGCACTGCACCAAGAACCAATGAAGGAAACCACATGAACACCTCAGAAGAAGACACTGCTTCACAAATGTAGAGTGGCATCATATTTTAGTGGTTGGAGGATTTCTCTTTTGTCTGTGGTAAAAGACCATGAGTCATTTCTCCCACTAGACTCATGTGTTCATTTTGGTTGCATTTACCCAGAATGCCCTGCTCTGTAGATCACTTCTGCTTGGTGTTCACATATGCATTTGACCCACAGCACAATTCACTTCCATTGAGCCGAAATCAAGGTTTTGCAGCCCATAATAAACAATCAGAGTTCATTAACACATTCTCACCTTCTCAAATGAACCGGACTTTCTAAATAAACAAACTAGAGTTTGATTAACGCAAACTAAAGAGGTTTGCCTTACCTCTAAATGCAAATCTCTAAAAGTCAAACTGATGTTTCTTCTCACATGAAACATTAATGGTTATTTACAGCAGGTGTGGTCCTCTGCTTAAGGGAGGATAAAAAGTCTTCATGTTTGCATGGAACCAGTCTCTCTAACTGGAAACTGGGGTGGCGAACCAGTTCAGCATTAAGAGCTAAATTAAGCTCTTCATCACTGTAAAGAGCCTAACAGCAATTTCAAGATTAGCTTCACAGTACATTACAGTGGTATAAAGAAATTGTTTTGTTCCTAGTCCCTAAGGTTTTTATTTTTAAGTGTCTTTAGGTGTGCCCTGTACTCTGTTGTATTAACTCTTTCACATGGCAGTAAGAACAGAACAATGTTTAAGTGTAGTAAAAAGTAATACATGCAGAAAATGTATGAGCTCCCTCTGCCAAACTGGACAAGGTGGGTGTTTTAAAAAATGTCTCAAGTAGGACATTTTTAAAACATGTGGGACAATTTACTTGTGTGTCTCAGATTTGGATGTATTTAATTGCATCTTTAAAAACTTCCTGGTTACACCCTTCCTCAGTATTCTTAAGAAGGCATTTAATTTAAATACTAAAATTCAAACATTAATACCTTTAAATATTTTGAATATGAAACACTAAATTAAAACTCACTCAAAGGCTAAACACAATGGGTCTGACGCACATTTCTTAAAACAATGATAAATATCGTCATTAATTTAAACTCTGAGAAGTCATTGTTTCTTTCTGATTTTTCTCACTTTTGTTCTTTTTTTCTTGATAAATTGCTCCATACCTCAACTCCATGAACATGCCACTCTGTACATCAACGTGGTGCGCAAGGCATTGATGGTGTCATGTGATCAGAACCGGTATCTGTGCTACCTCGACAGATTTTCCTACCATATGGGTAACACAGATAGTTAGAACACCAATATGTTATACAGGATCCATCACAGAGCCAGCAGTAAACAGTATGAACACAGAGTTGTGACACAGGAGGACTGAGAAAAATGATTGCATCTTATTTGAACACACCCTTCCACCCCTACAGGATCTCCGTCACTGTGTGTGTTTTCTGAACCCTTAATTCTCACATTAAGGCCACTGCATAGCATTGCCCAACATTAGCCAACATGCTCTGGTCATGCATATTAGCAAGTGACTGTGTGGTAACAGACCACAGAGCTGAGCTCCATATTTTTCCAGTGTTTGGTCTAAGCTCGATGCATGCTGAGACAGACTCTACTCTGCAAGATGTTTTCACTGAGTCAGCTCTCTTTGCATAGCCACACCTTAACATGTGGGACCGATACACTGCTTGAGACTGGAAATCACTTCCTTAGAACTAATGAACTAAGACCAACAATATGAAAAAGTTACATTCTGGAAGTTTTTAATAATCATTGGTTGAAGGAGTGGATTATATGAATGAAGAACAAACAATAAAAGTTGACAAAATGCAAGATCGACAAAGTGTTTTTAACATTAATACGGTATTTTATGCCTGTGCTGTGTACCTAGGTATGTTATCATCAACTGTGGCACAGCCGTAAAGGAACACAATGACTCCAACGATGGCAGCTGGGATGAGCATCTGGGTATAAACTCCTAACCAGGCGAAGTAGAGACCAACTTTTTCTCCAAAGTACTTCCTGTTGGAAGAAACACAAATGCTTAAAGGCCTGAGGTCATCTGCAACTTCAGAGAGCCAGATATTAAAAATTTGTCCTTTTAATTGTTATTTGAATCCAACAACCATTCTTTGCTGACTCAACATGTCTCTGACTGGAACAGCTTCGTCACTACGTGTAACAGGTCAGACTGGTGCTACAGTGTGGCTTTTCTTCAACTCCATAAATAAATCCAGACTCCTATTAGATCTGGTCCTGACTCTCATTGGTTCAGTCAGTGAACAGGATGTTTTCAGAAAACTTGAGCTTACATGGACATGATCCAGTACTTAATGGGTTTATTCAGAAGGTTCTGACCTGATCAGGCCAATAGGCTGATACTTGTAGAAAACACTGTAGCTGGCCCATTCCTCGAACAATAACTGTGAAGAGAAGCCAGAGTCAGTGATTACTGTCAGGTTTCTACAAATGTGAAGAGTTGAGCAGACCAAATAAAGAACTGGATGGCAAACAAGCACAATTATCATTTCTTGAACATATTTGTTAGGAAAAACAATAAAACCTGCAGACGTGTCCATCCAAACGGATGCTAGTGACTTTGTTTTGATCTCAGACAGTCTTTCTGGTCTTGGTCTACATTGCTAGGACTTAGGAAATGTTTCTATAAAACAATGTCTGCATGGATTTTACAGACATTTTATTTCTAAACTGTATTACTAACCATAACTAATTTCATCCTAGTAATCATTACAACTGACAATTGATTTACAAGTGTCATTAGTTATAGTACTTAACCTTGGGTGGTACCTGTCGGGTTGAAACAGTGAGCTACTGAGTTCTGACCTGAATGCATCAGAGCAGCCCTCATCACGCTCTGATGGAAGCTTCAGTAAAACATCCTAACACAAGAATCCTGCAGAACTCCATCCTGTCCTCATGCTGAACAGAAGAGAGCAGCTGGCAGCGGCAGTGCTCTGTGTACACGTTCTGATCCCACTACTGGTAGGCGAATATCACAAATCACTTGGAGGGGCCAGTGGAATATTTTCACACATACTGTAATTACACACTCCATCTACAGGCAACGCAACAAGCAACAAATGATGTCGTTTTATGAGCAAGCAGCAGCCTAGTGAAGAGCCTAGATGGCAGGCTGAGCGCGACACTCAGCTAACAAGAACTCTCCACACTTTTGTTCCCACTCTCCATCTAAAGGTCCATGAAAGAATAAAGTTGACTAGAGCCGCTTTTGTGATCCTCCAGAACATAAGAGGGCTTATTAAGCTGTTGCCTTAGTGACTCACATCCCACAATATAATTATGGAACTAGAGTGTAAGCAAGGATGGATGTGACTTCAAAAGCATGAACTCTGATTTCTAATTGCATAGGAGGAGGAACAGACTCAGACATGTCCAGATGGTCACAGTGACGGTTAGCTGGAGAGGTCAGCTTCATTGCCTAGTTTCTAATTAAGCTCTTAAGACTATTCTACATTCAGGGTACTGAATGTATCCAAAGCCACAAAACGCACATTACATAGTGCCGAACAACGATCTGGAGTTCTATCCCTCATCAGCTCGGTCTCAGGAAATCAATCGGGAATAAACTAACTCCATCCTGGCAGGAGAGACTGGCTGATCTGATGTTAAATGTCAAGGTCTTAGACGGCAAGAGATAAAGAACAAAATGTCCAACTTGGTGATATTCCATGAGAGATATGTTGATTCTGCTCTTAAATTTTAGGTGTGATTGACCCTACACTGAACTTTTACCTCCAATAGAGTAGGGATGGCAAGTTCAAAATGATGTTCCTAAAAAAAAAAAAAAAAAATTCTGGCATGGTTTATGTGGACCAACTCATACAGGCTGCTGTTAGTAGGGTTTCCATGGCAGAATAGCATCAGTATGGTTACAGCTGGGTTTAGATTAACTAATAGAGTTGCTCCACTTACCTTCCTGTCATTAGGCTCTGCAGTAACCCCATCAATGTCTCCCTGTAAGACAAATGGAGTGTGTGTTTACTAACCTTCATTATACAAGAAAAAAATTTGTCTTTGCTGCAGGCACTGACTGCTGCACAATCCAAAAACCATAATCATCATATTACATTCACTTAAAACCACTTTTGTAATAGCGCCACAATTATAGAAATAAATAATAGAAACTTAAAGAAACAGCAGTACAGCTTAAAATCTTAAACATCATTATCTACAGTCATATATAGGTAATAATGTTAAAGACCTGCACAAATGAAAAGAAAATTTTAATGTTTAAGTTTTTCTTTGTCTGATCTGGCTTATTCCAGTACTGAAGTCAAGAACACTGAACAGACTTTCTCTGAGCTCAATAGAATGAAGACACTTTGCTTGTTCAGATATGAGGGGGTTATTCAGCACTGCAGGACAAGTCTGCACATGTCTGCACACGGTTTGAAAGAATCAAGTTTGAAAGAATCAGGATGCAGGAAGGTGTGTGTGTGTGTGTGTGTGTGTGTGTGTGTGTGTGTGGGTGTGTCCGTGTGTGAATTTCCTGCTATATCTGGGTGAGCTTTGTGTCACAGTCATCATGATGGCTGTGAAGAGGAAACTATCGTTGTCCAATATTTTTATTGCATCAGATTTTGCAGATCACTTGTCTTAGATCACTTTAATATCAGATGGATCTGTTCCAAGCTCGCCATGGACTGTTCTGCTGCTCTGTGTCATATTAAAATGTTTACCATAATTTTTACCATCAAACAAGCGATGGGTAAAAATTATAAAATTATCTTTCTTCCAGAAGCAGCATTAATTTTTGCTGTGGCTGTATTGACAGATGGCTGGAGGCCTGCAGGAGGGTGGACACCCACCAACATGAAAGGAGAAAGATGAAGTTGATACTCACATCATGCAGTGGATAAGCAGATGTGTAGACACCGTTGGCTAGCAGACTGGTGATCCCTATAAGGAGGAATAATCCATGAATTAAAATGAGACACTCCTAGAGCAGTAGCACCCAGAGAACAAGCTGAGAGAAAACCCTTCAACAGCCTGATCAGGGTGGAGTACCATGTTTAGAGTTATAAAACTTATAGTAGTTTTTTTTTATAACAATAGTAAGAAAAAATGACAAAAGCATATGAGAAATGAAGTGTAATTTCTGTTGTTTCTGCTCTAAACCACGAGTCATGTTTAATAATTTGGGTTTCTGACAGGCTTGTTAGCAGTCCTAAAGTCGTCCTGCCTCAGCTAACAGAATAATGTGCACATGATCCAAATCAGTTTTTGTGTTGAAAGTTTACATCAATGCACTTTAATTTACTGCAGAAAAATATAAGCACATAATGTTAAGAAATAAAATGTGTTTTGTCTTGATGATGAAAAACACGGTGGAAAAGTTCTGCTAAATCCATTAACAACCTATCCATGCCTGAAATTGCTAACTGCTTGTGTTACTAATGATGACCTTTAAGAAGAGTGCAACCATTATCCCTTTGTATTAAAACAGATTCACAAAAAGGAAAATTACTGATAAGTACATTTTACATGAAAGAAAGGTTTTCTTGATCATGTAAACTTTGAGGTGAGAGGTTCAGATGCAGTGAAGAGTTTTCAGGACATTGATGGATATCCAACAAACACAGTGACTATCTCTCCTTCTGGAAGTGTGAAATGAAGACTTTGAGGCGATGGCCTTGTGACACGAGGACAGCAAAGAAGACACTTCTGTTTAAAGAAAATATCAAGGACAGACTGGAATTCTGCAGGAAAATATAAACACTGCACTGAAGCTGTTATTTTCACTGATGAAGTCTCCTTGTGATTGTTTGGAAAACTATTTTCCCCCCAGATCCATAGCAACACAGAGTTCTGTGTGGTGGATACAAGGAATCCTCCTCCTATAACCCATATGTGGAGCTGGATCTTAACCTTACATGTCTGTCCATGTGAAAGAAATGACATCACTACCAATCACCCAAGAGTGACTTTTTTCAACAATACTGGTGATGATCTTTGTGTTCTCCAGCACAATTCGGCTCCATACCAAAAGTCAAAACAAACAAAAAACAGAAATTTTGAATCAGGAGTCAGAAAACTTCAAACATCATAGAGAAGCAGTGACTGTTTGTGAAAAGTATATAAAGAAACAGAGGTCAACAAACTGACAGACTCCAAACACTGAGATAAGATGTGTCCAGATTGGGTCTAAATTGGTGATATTGACTCTTCACATAAATAGGTGTGTTTGATAAAAATATGTGAGATATCAAATGTTTTGATATTTCTTCTTTTAGCCATTAAAACATATAAACAAACTTATTTGAATGTTATCAAAGGGGAAAAACAACTACATATGTGTTTGATTTAGTGCCTGCCAAGTGTCAACACTTTAGTGCCCATGTTAAGTCATGTTAAGTCCACATGTTAAGACCTTTTTATATTAATAGTAAGTAAGAATGACAAAAAATTATGAGAAATGGTTCATGTTCATGACAGGTGTTATGTCATGTTAATGAAAGTGTCATGACAGTCTTATTCACCCCCCTTCAAATAAAGCGTTACCAGATATTTTATGTTTTTGAAGTGTAATGTCTGTTGTTTCTGCCCATATTAAGTTGTGTGCTGCCTTTACCCAAAGAGTAGTTGGGTCTGGTCCATCGTATCCTCTTCAGTACTTCATAGACCTGGGAATCCAAGAACAGACGTCATTAAAATATGAAAACTAAGCATGTTTGAAAATGTATAGTACAACATGATTGGAGGGGATGTTTATTTGCTTATTAGATAACAAAATGAAAATAAGGTAAAAGGAAAATGAAAGCAGACAGATTGCAGAATTTCAGAGCGGCAGTAAAAACAACTCCACTGAGTCTAATTGATAAGCTCTGGAGCAAAAGAGTGCTGGGAGTGAGCACATCCATCCAATACTGACTTCAATCACATTATCTAGTCATTAGTGAAACTCTGGGCAGCTCTGTGGAGGTATATATATTGGTATGTGCATGTGCGTGTGTGTGTAAAGGAAGAGAGTCAATTTAGAGGCGAAGAACCAGCATAGAACAGAATACAGCGATCGCTCCTCTGCCTGAAACCAAGACGTTCAGCTGAGACAAAAGCACACTGAGCTACAGGAAGCATGTTCATCTGCTTATGAGAGATGGTTTACAGTTATTATTTTAAGCAGATTCTAGTGATCCCCTCCAACATTGATCTTACAGAAATACTCACAATGGAGCTTCTCGTCTTGCTGTCAAAGAACTTGTCTCTGTCAGAGAGGTCAAAACTGGGGGAAAAGAAGAAAAACAGGCAGTTTTATTTAAAGACGAAGGAAAGGAAAAAAAAATACATTCACAGACCAGTGGAGAGTTAAGATGTAAAGCTGTAAAAGAAAAAAAATGGGCTGGAGGTGCCAGGGCTAGAAAGGAGGCCGAGATGCATTATAAATCAATTACTATTAACCCAACCATAATGATGTGTATCAGTATTATGTTTGATTTCTAATTTCTACACACAAGCAGGCAAATAAAGGAGAAAAATGATGACATGGTGTTTCTATATGAAACATATGTTCATAGGATATAAAAACTGAAAAACTGCAATGTGTAGTCATTGTATTGGAATTACATTTGTTATAACATAAAATGTCTCAGGAACTGATGACCTCTGCAGGCAGTTTATGTCCCAAACCCTTAGAGGAGCGGCCCATTTCTCATGATTTAACCACTCTCTGAATCCCTGTAAATGATGGAGTGCATATGCGTGTGTGCGTGTGTGTGTGTGTATGTGTGCGCCTGCTTATATGGACAAAAATGTTCCAGCTTACTGGTTAAATACTTAATCCAGTTGAGCTGTACACTAGCAAAAACATGAATGTCAAGTGCAGTAGGTAGAGTAAAGATGGACTTTAGGTTCTGACCATACAGCACCAGTAATGGTTCAGACGCCATCATATGTCTGCATGTCAGGCCTCAAACTGTTAGATTGAACTGGGATCATGTGCAACAGACTAACAGAAATTGTCACATTTTTGTAATGTACAGAACAACAGCTCAGGTGGGAGAACCTGACAACTATAGCTGCACATTCCACCTGGCATTCATGACCAAATGGGAGGAAGTAAGTCTGAATGGAGACATGGGGTGTGAACATTATTCCTAGTGCACTCAGATGCCAGACAGATGTTGCTCTGAGACATGCTTTAATGTTTGGAAAATTGTTTTAGATATGGAGTCATTACAAAAAAACAAAAAAAAAATCTGGATTGAATGTTTTCTGCTGAGTGTTCACACAAAACTGAACTATGACCAAAAATACAACAAACAAGCAAAGCTGATACAACAACAAAAAGTTCTGCATCATCAGATGACAGACAATTTAAAGATAAAGTTCTGGTTCTGACAGGTTGTCTAAACTGAACCTAGAAAATCTATCTTCATTCTTGACTGGGGACACTTTGTCAACTGTGTGAACACTTTTAGACAAGAGGCTTTGGCTGCACATGATCCAAATCTAAAACAACTTTACAATCTAGGAGAAGAAAAACAAAAACACAAAAATAAAAAGGGTGATTGCTTTTAAAACCTCACGAAATGAGCTTTTGTGATCAGGCTTAATCTCAGGGATCCGCCCCAGATTGTTTTGAGAACAGATGAAGAGATGTGGAAGCTGTGGAGGGAGATCTGCTAGCTGTTAGAGCGTAAATTTAGCTCCTTACTGCCCACTCACTCCTCCAAGGCTGAGGGAAAGACATGTTCTGATCCAAACACTGGATGTGGAAACTGGCTGACTGGTTGGGACCAAAGAGAGTATCCATGAAGTCATGAGTCTCAAAGTTCAGAATCCATCCCATGTCTGCTTAGACTGTGACGTTAAAACCTCACTGTTCAGAGGATGTAGATGACCTCAATGAGTCAGACTTGTGTTTGTTTGCGTGCAGTAAGTTCAGAGAAGGGGGCGGGGGGCTTTCACATTACCAAGTCAGACTGAATCACTCTGCAGCATTCCTGGAATCAGCCTGCAGGCTGGCTGGCATTTCTTTCCATCACATTGCTAATGTTTTTACCACATTGTGTTTAATAATTAAATATATTTGCTTATTCCAATCTCCTACTTGTAATATTAGATGTTCCCTGCATCATGTTCTCTCAAAGGTATCCTGTCTATCAGGAAAACCTGTACAGTTAGGTTCCCCTGCTGGTTGCATGAACTGCAGTTCAGGGTCAATGTCCAGCTTTCATTCTGCTTTGCAGCTTGGAACTGCAGGGCACAACTTATATTAGGCTCAGAATTCAGATCAAATAGCTGGAGAGTCAAGGAACCAAAGCTCAGATCAGGTTTAACCATCAGTACCTGATCTCATCCCATAGCGCTCCGATTTCTGCTTTTAAATATAAAAAGTTCAGTAAAATGACCCTTTTTTTGGAGTGTGTCTTTAGAAAAGAAAAAGAAAAGAGATTTTACTCACAGGTGCTGCTTCTCCTTTGAAAAAGGAAGGGAGAGCGATTTGACATCTTCGGGCCGTTTGGGACCCACTTTTGGGTGGAGAGGATCAGTAACTTTGTGAATGAACAGTCGGATTTTCTCCACCAGGTTGCTGCCTTGTTTCACTTCATAAACCTGCGGAAATGAAAGACTATTGTTGCTGTTGAAGGGAATTCAACAGCAGTTCTCCACTGTTGCCCCTTGCATGCACAACATGAGGGACTACTGTTAAACCAGTGACTGAACATGAACTGAACATTATTGCATTTTAACTGGAATCAAATTGGAACATATGTAATATTGTATTTGTCTATGATTGAACTTGATATTTCGCTGAATAAGTTGAATTGCTTGTTAAAGTTTCTTGAATGGAAGTTTCTCATGAATGTAGTGAAGACAAAAAATACATTAGATCAGTATGAGTCTAAATGATCACTGATAGAATTAATATGGAACTGATGATTAAAACAAAAATCTTAAATGAAATTTTGAATGGAATTAGTGGATGTTGGGTTGAATACCTGCTTTGTTGGCATCTTGAGTTTCATGATCTCAGCCTCTCGACACAAAACGGCCCAGGGAGCATGGATCTTCAAGAAGCCAATTCCAGCGATTTTACCCTGAGACACAGGAAGTTAGACAGAACAGAGTGTGATTCTGTGTGCTCTAATCTGTCTATCTAATCAATGATCATAATAATAATCCAGTGACTTATTTAGTATTTTAGTTCCTTTCAAAATGTACCAAAACAGACGTGGTGATGAAGAGGCTGCAACAGTGATGAAATTGTTGGGTTCAAAACCTTTTCACACTCAGGGGGTTTATAACAACTCTGTTAAACTATTAAATACCACATTTATCCACATTTATCATCAAAGAAGTTGAAATTTTAGTCCCCATAACAAAATATTGAACCAGGTTTAATAATAATACTTTTTTTTTAAATTTGGAGTCAAATTCATGACTAAAATGAGCCATGATCTCCTTTATTCTCAGCTCAGTCTCATCATAGATGATTTTCCCAACATCCTGAATGATAATGCTTTCATTTATAAACACATAAATAATGGCCTTCATTTTTATTTACATTTGTTATGCTGAACAGTTCTTTATAGGTCATATCCTACTTCAATGCATCTTTAATCCTTTTTTTTTAATTTTAGCAATAAGTGTTAAATGTAGCTATGAAAAATTCATTAATGATCACATTGTGGCAGGATTTCTGGAGGAAAAAAATACAAAATGAACTCTGCTTCTAAAAGCATCAGATCAGTTCTTCAGTTCGATGAAAATCATCTGCATCTATTTGAGTAAAACGCTCGTCTGTCTCACGGCCTGCAACCTGTAATGTTGTATAAAAGCTTGAAGACTTACTTCAAGCCCCTCAGTTCTGACCTCCGATCTCTGACCAGTCTGGTGAAGAGATGGAGAACTACTATGTGTGCAATCTGTGAAAAAAACATTTTCTAGTGCTGAATAATAAAGCAGTTCTGCACTAAAACTCTAGAACAAATGCAAACATCACTGTATAGAGTTAAAATACCAATTTCATATGATCAGGAATGCAAAGGATTGGATAAAAAAAACTGAACCTGAATAAATCCTAAAATATAAAGTCCTATCAGCTTTATTTTCATTGAACTATGAGGGAGTAATAAGTTCTATAATAACAATAACAATTGCTTAGGTATTTGGAAAGAAATCCCATTGCTTGCTTTCCATACAGTAAGGGGTCTGTCCAGACCTCAGACTTTACCATAAGATGATTATAAAGTCTCAGGCCTTTTACTGTGACTTCTGATGGCAGGCTGCATATCGCTGCGAGTCGCTAAAAGCCTTTCCCAGAAGTCGGTTGCCATCTCTTTGCAAAGATGGCACTGTTGCAAAGAGTCACTCATGCCGATTTTAATGTTGTTTGACAAGAAGATGATTCAACTCCATTTTTTGCACAAAAATTTTCTGAAAATCTTTACACTCTCCATTAATGGGTATAAACCACCTTGGATCCACAACTCCATTCATGAAGCATACTTCTTATTCTAGGTAACATGTATATGAAAAAGGGTTTCAAATATCAACGACTCAGTTCATCAGTCAACGGCTACTCGGATGTCCTGCATGGCCGATCTTCCTCCTGTCATAGTGGATTTCTGCTTTTCAGTTAGGATGTGACGGGGTTCTCTTATGACTAGGGCAACCAAAAACGACTGGCCAAATCACTTTAGAGAAATTTATTAAACTTTCTTCAGGTGATCAGAGAGGAAAAGTGCAAAATAGGTACAGAAGACATCCAAGGCAGGTTAAAATCAAACAAACAGTACCTTCAATACAAGAGTCCATCACCCTCAGTGTGATTTGTCAGGAGTCTAGCCACAGACTGACTCAAAGTGGAACAGAGCCCTGCTTTTAAAGCCATAGGCTCCGCCCACAGCAAAAACAAGCAAGCAAAAACAACTAAACAATTACTTCTAACCAGGGGCGCCGCCAGAAATCTTGGGCCCCCTGACAAAAAATTAGATTGGGCCCCCTGCACAATATGAAAATTGTGACCCTTTTTCATATAAAAAGGGTCACAATTTTAAAGGTTTGCAACTGCCTTGCTTTCTGTGGTCCAATACTGATACTGGCACAATATTTACTGCTCATGAATTTTACATCCAACAGTCCACATCCAGTATGCAATTCGGTTGCTTAAATTTTTTCTATTAGTTTTAGATACTGAAATGTCTCTAGCCATGAGTGACAGTCAACAGCAACGTGCAAAATACACATTGCAATCCAGACTTCTCAAAAATGCTATGTAGTTGCATTTTATTCATCTGCAGTACATAATAAAAATATGTTTTCTCCATATTTGTTAAAGCTGTCATGATGTTGTAGCAGTTTGTTATGAGACAGATAATCTGAGAAAACAATCAATCTCCTCCACCTCCTTCCTGAATTACTATTACTGGTTAAAGTAATGCACACCGTTCTGACCAAAACAACCAATCAGAACTAGTAGGACGCTCTTAGCACTGTCAATTAGCCTCTTTCCCTCACTGCTAAATGTGCTAATGGTGGAGAAACAACTTATCATTACAAGAAACCGTTTATCTGCCGTCATTGGTAGCTATGCTAACTAAACTGAGCATTCACAGTTTGAATCTGCACAGCTCTGTGCTATGCTAGCTGCAGCACGGCACAAATCGAGGGGGATGAGGGATGAGCAGCACCACATCAGATTGTGATTGACAGCACTAAAACTCTCCTGTCACTGACTGGTTGCTTCTAGCACTGGGAGAAAGCAGGAAATAGATTTTTCACAGATTACCTCTCATACCATAATGTCACAACAAAATGAGAGTTTTAACAAATATGTGGAAAAAATATTGATAAAAAAGTGACATACTGCAGCTTTAATTTCACTCAGGAGAGGATGGGTCAGAAGGGACGTGGGTTACAACTGCTGCTGCCTGACTCATCTGTTAAGTGGCAAAAGGTACAAGTTAAATATATGAATATGTTGGTAATTTTTTCCCTTAAT